TTCCAGGTTTGCTAGTTTATGTGCATAGAGTTGTTTGTAATATTCTCTGATGATGGTTTGAATTTCTGTGGAGTCTGTGGTGATTTCCCCTTTATCATTTTTTATTGCATCTATTTGGTTGTTCTCTCTTTTCTTTTTAATCAATCTGGCTAGTGGTCTGTCTATTTTGTTGATCTTTTCAAAAAACCAACTCTTGGATTTATTGATTTTTTGAATGGTTTTTCGTGTCTCTATCTCCTTCAGTTCAGCTCTGATCTTAGTTATTTCTTGTCTTCTGCTGGGATTTGAGTTTTTTTTATCTTGGTCCTCTAGCTCTTTCAATTTTGACGATAGGGTGTCAATTTTGGATCTCTTCATTCTCCTCATATGGGCACTTATTGCTACATACTTTCCTCTAGAGACTGCTTTCAATGTGTCCCAGAGATTCTGGCATGTTGTGTCTTCGTTCTCATTGGTTTCGAAGAACTTCTTTATTTCTGCCTTCATTTCATTGTTTACCCAGTCAACATTCGAGAGCCAGTTGTTCAGTTTCCATGAAGCTGTGCGGTTCTGGGTTGGTTTCTGAATTCTGAGTTCTAACTTGATTGCACTATGGTCTGAGAGGCTGTTTGTTATGATTTCAGTTTTTTTGCATTTGCTGAGCAGTGCTTTACTTCCAATTATGTGGTCAATTTTAGAGTAGGTGTGATGTGGTGCTGGGAAGAATGTATATTCTGTGGATTTGGGGTGGACAGTTCTGTAAATGTCTATCAGGTTTGCTTGCTTTAGGTCTGAGAACAAGCCCTGGATATCCTTGTTGATTTTCTGTCTGGTTGATCTGTCTTATATTGACAGTGGAGTGTTAAAGTCTCCCACTATTATTGTGTGGGAGTCTAAGTCTCTTTGTTAAGTCATTAAGAACTTGCCTTATGTATCTGGGTGCTCCTGCATTGGGCCCATATATGTTTAGGATCGTTAGCTCTTGTTGTTGTATCAATCCTTTTACCATTATGTAATGGCCTTCTTTGTCTCTTTTGATCTTTGTTGCTTTAAAGTCTATTTTATCAGAGATGAGAATTGCAACTCCTGCTTTTTTTTTGCTCTCCATTTGCTTGGTAAATCTTCCTCCATCCCTTTATTTTGAGCCTTTCTGTATCCTTGCATGTGAGATGGGTTTCCTGGATACAGCACACTGATGGGTTTTGGATTTTTATCCAGTTTGCCAGTCTGTGTCTTTTGATTGGTGCATTTAGTTCATTTACATTTAGGGTTAATATTATTATGTGTGAATTTGATACTGCCATTTTGATGCTAAGTGGTTGTTTTTCCTTTTAGTTGTTGTAGATTCTTCATTATGTTGATGCTCTTTAGCATTTAGTGTGATTTTGGAATAGCTGGTGCTGGTTGTTCCTTTTTATGTGTAGTGCCTCTTTCAGGAGCTCTTGTAAAGCAGGCCTGGTGGTGACAAAATCTCTGAGTACTTGCTTGTTCACAAAGGATTTTATTTTTCCTTCACTTCTGAAGCTCAGTTTGGCTGGATATGAAATTCTGGGTTGAAAGTTCTTTTCTTTAAGAATGTTGAATATTGGCCCCCACTCTCTTCTGGCTTGTAGTGTTTCTGCCGAGAGATCTGCTGTGAGTCTGATGGGCTTCCCTTTGTGGGTGACCCGACCTTTCTCTCTGGCTGCCCTTAGTGTTTTCTCCTTTATTTCAACCTTGTTGAATCTGACGATTATGTGCCTTGGGGTTGCTCTTCTTGAGGAATATCTTTGTGATGTTCTCTGTATTTCCTGCATTTGAGTGTTGGCCTGTCTTGCTAGGTGGGGGAAATTTTCCTGGATGATGTCCTGAAGAGTATTTTCCAGCTTGGATTCATTCTCTTCATCCCCTTCTGGTACACCTATCAAATGTAGGTTAGGTCTTTTCACATAGTCCCACATTTCTTGGAGACTTTGTTCATTCCTTTTTGTACTTTTTTCTCTGATCTTGTTTTCTCGTTTTATTTCATTGAGTTGATCCTCGACTTCAGATATTCTTTCTTCTGCTTGGTTAATTCGGCAATTGAAGCTTGTGCATGCTTCGCGAAGTTCTCGTATTGTGTTTTTCAGCTCCTTTAATTCATTCATATTCCTCTCTAAGTTATCCATTCTTGTTATTATTTCCTCAAATCTTTTTTCATATCTTTTTTTAAGGTTCTTAGTTTCTTTGCATTGATTTAATACATGTTCTTTTAGCTCACAAAAGTTTCTCATTATCCACCTTCTGAAGTCTAATTTCGTCATTTCATCACAGTCATTCTCCGTCCAGCTTTGTTCCCTTGCTGGTGGGGAGTTTTGGTCCTTTCTAGGTGGCGAGGTGTTCTGGTTTCGGGTGTTTTCCTCCTTTTTGCACTGGTTTCTTCCCATCTTTGTGGATTTATCCACTTGTCGTCTGCGTAGTTGCTGACTTTTCAATTGGGTCTCTGAGTGGACATCCAGATTGTTGGTGATGAAGTATTTCTGTTACTTTGTTTTCCTTCTACCAGTCTAACCCCTTCGCTGTGTGACTGCTGAGGTCCACTCCAGGCCCTGCTTGTCTGGGGTGCACCTATAGCAGCTGCGGAGAAGCGAGGGATGCTACCAGTTTCTTTTTCTGCTATCTTTGTTCCAGAATGATGCTTGCCAAATGTCAGTCTTTTGGATATAGAGGGGTCAGGGAGCTCCTTGAGGAGACAGTGTGTACTTTGTAGGAGCTCAAGTGCTGAGCTGTGAGCTCTGTTGTTCATTCAGGGCTGTTAGGCTGAAAAAAACCCTTTTTTTCTCAGATGTTCTGTCTGGGGGGGTGTTGAGGCTTTCCTTGTGAGTGTCCACCTCGCTGTCCTGCCCAGCTAGGAGGCAGTCAAGTCACTGTTTACCTGCCGAGGCTCCGCCCTGCTGGTGTGAGGCTCGCCCTGTTGCTGCAGGCTCTGCCCTTCTGCTGTGGTCTCCGCCCTGTTGCCATGGGCTACGCCCTGCAGCGGAGTCTCTCTGTTGTACCGGGTTGCTTCGGCAATGGCAGGCTGCATCAGCAATGTGCGTGTGCCTCAGTAGGGGCTGATTGCCTTGGTAATGGTGGACGCCCTTGCCCTGCGGAGCTGCGCTTTAAGAAAACCTCCTCCCGGGAGCGTTTGGAATCGCTGTTTTGTTTGTCGCACTGCGCTAGCCCAAATGCTTTGTCTTTGGGATTTCCTGGGCTGGCTCACTGCCCAAGACCCGTTCAGTCTCAAGTTCAGCCCTCTCAGGTCTCAGTTTGCTGGTTCAACAGGGCACCGGTAACAGTGCGCTTTTGTATGGAGCGCTGTGGAGCACCTCTGCGCTCAGGCGCGGGCCGGAGCCGCAGCGACTGCCGGCTACACCAGCCGAGACTTCTGCCTGGCGTCCCGCGTCTCTTTTATACCTGGGAATTTCCCCGTTCTGTGGGCAACTAAGATCCGTCTGGAAGTGCGTCCCGACTCACCCTCTCCGTGGATCCAGCAAGAGCTTCAATCCTGGGTTGTTCTCACAGCGCCATCTTGAGTCCTCTCGGAAAGAGGGACTGTTAATGCAGCGGTAGAAATGTGCCCATGGCTGCTGACTTAATTGAATCTGGCTAGTTTCTTCTCTCAGTTTTTGAAGTGGGTCCACAAAGCAGACTCTACTCCTGGATAGGCACAAATACACAGGAGGGTTTCTTTTTAAATTGCAAACGTGATTATTAGGAAAAGCCTGATGCTTTTGCCTGAAGACAACAATATAAAAGACTTGTTAGATCAGCGTCCAACTAATTTACCAAAGCAGAGTAATTATTGACAGAGGCTCAGAGCAAACAAATCAGAGGTGTGTGTGTGTGTGCGTGCATGCTTTCACATGAGGGTAAGAGGGAAGGATGCCAAGGAAGAGAAAAGAGTCCAACTGGACATTGTCTAGTTGAAAGATAAAACATTTTGCAAATTATATGCTGTACTTTCTGGCCTATGTTTTTCTTTAAGATCACTGACCTGAATGTTTGTTAATAAAGTGATGCTAATTTTAATATTTGTAAAAATACATTATTATCATAATGGTATACAAATATGTAGGATGAATAATCTTTACAAATGATATTAATATCCTATAACAAGATAACAAATGAGACAAAGGCAGTTTTACATTTCTCAGAGGACAACCCAAGAATGGAAATTTTATTAGAGTAACAAAGAAAAATGAAGCACTGACACTGTAAATGACAGAAGTCAGATGTAACGATAGTTGAATATCAAAGGAAAAAATGATAGCCTAAAATAAGATATGTTTGTGAGGATAGCAACGAAAAATATTTCCTATATAGCACAGATGGGAATTCCTTGAACTGAAGGAGACGGAAGACATGTATGGTTGTTTTAAGTCTGTGTATACACTTTTATTTTCTTCCTCTAGTTTGTGCGTTATAAAGGCATACCGGTTGAAAAGGATACTTTTATTGGATTACCCCTCCTGTCTTTTAAAGATCAGGGGGAAAAAGAAGCCTTTGCTGTTAGGGATGCAGTTCTCAAAATCTCACTAGAGGGTGGTGTTGGTTTTAAAACCAGAGGTCACTGCTACTCTTTATAGTATATTCATTACTAGGCTGTATTTATGTTTAAAGAAAAGGTAAAGTCAAGCCTTCTCAGTCTTCCCTAGTAGTTGATAAATGTCAAATCTGAAACCCCCCGAGTGCTCCTTTCAGTTCTGGCTGGTTGTAGCCCAGAGGAGACAGATAAAGAAGTGAAGCTTGATTACCAGAGGAGTTGGGTGGCAGATTCTAATTTCGGCTCCTGCACTAACTGGTAGACAAGGCTCCCTGGGCCTTTGTCATATCTGTAAAACAAAAAGATGTCCTAGTTGGTAAATCCTCATACATCTTTAAAATTATGCGACTCAAGCAAAATTCTTGGTCTAAAATGCTGAATAATTTCTCATGCTCTTGGCCAGACTAAGGAACAAGTAAAATCTCAAATTATTAAATTATTAATAATTAAGATACAATGTAATGTTATAAGTGAAGTTTAATATAGATTCTAATATCAAAGAAATTTAAAATTAAAATGCCACATCTTTTGTCTTACCAGGGAACCTTAGAGCCACGGATTGCATCTGAGCATTCTATGGATAATTTCAGTGAATGCATCATCCAAAGATCTCTCCCTTCTTGGTCACCAGCTTACTGGAAATCAGCAAAACATGTTTTAATATAGGATTATATAGAGAAGGGAGGCTGAACCATTGTCAAATAGGAATGTTTTAGGATTGGGACTAAACTCCCCACCTGCATTTATCTGACTTCGTTGTATCTTTGGTTTGTTAAGAGTTAGTCTTCGAGGGATTTAGTTGGTTTAGTTTCCTTTCGCTCTCATCTCTTTCATCTGACTCCCCTTTCTTGTTATATTTACTCACATTGCAGATGTGAGTATCCTTAGAATCCTACCTGGAACCTGAAGCAAATTACGGAACTTCAAGATCCCAGTAACCCTAGCCTATCTCTGCATGGACTTGACTTCTAAGAATTGGCCCGAGACCCTGCAATTAACCTTTGACCATGCGAAGCTTCAATTCGTCACCTTTGGCATTCATACTCAATGCCCTCTTTCCTCCAAATTGCTTTGTTTGGCAGAAGAAGGTTTCTTTCCCCCGACTCTCTGCCCCCAGGCTGGATTTGTTGGGTCTCAGGCTCGTTTCGCAAATCTAAACTTTCCAAAATATACACGGAGCGCCTCCGGGTTCGCACACGCTCGCTCACGTACACTCTGGCTTGAGTACACGAACCCCGCTGGGCCGGCTCCCAGTTGTAGAACACATTCCATTCTTCGCGCTCGGGCACACCCCTCCGCAGTGAGGATTGGTCCGGCCGAGCCCCCTAGGCGAGGCGAGGCTCCTAAGAGGCCCAGACTCCTGCCAATCCCCACGGGCTGTCAAAACAAGTCTCCCTCCCTGTCACAACAGAGCGGAGTGGAGGCCGCCGCCGCCGCACTTCCTGGGACCGCTGCGCTGCAATCCGTGGGCAGGTGGCGGGTGCGCCCGGCCGCAGTCACCCGGCTCTGGCCCCTCTCGGGTCGCGCGCGTCCGGGCTCCGGAGGCCGCCTGGCTGGGCGCCCGGTGCCTTTTGTCTGGCGCAGAGCCGACGTTTGCATCACATTTCGGATACCTCCCTCTCTTTTTCGCCTCTCCTGCCTCCAGCTCACAGCGCCTCCCCACTCCCGCCACCGTACCCCACCGGACTGCTAGCCACCGGGCCCAAAGCCAGAGGACATCTCTGCCCGAGCGATGTCTCCTTTCCAGAAAGTTGCCGCCGCCGCCGCCGCCGCCGCCACGGCCACCGCCGCTGGGCGGTGAAACAAAGTCTGGCGGGGCCGCCTCCCGGTGCAGGAGCGCACCGGTGCCTAGCGGCTTAACTCTACTGCCGGGCGTCCCGCCTCCCCCTGGGGAGCCCGAAACGCGCCGGGCAATGGCCCAGGGCGCGGCCGGCAGGGAGGGTCCGGCGCCGCCAGACGCGGCGGGGGGTGAAGACGACCCCAGAGTGGGCCCGGATGCCGCCGGGGACTGCGTGGCGGAGGCCTCTGGGGGCCGGATGAGGGACCGTCGTAGCGGGATCGTACTGCCGGGCGCCGCGGGGACCCCAGCCGACAGCGAGGCGGGCCTCCTGGAGGCTGCACGAGCGACCCCCCGGCGCAGCAGCATCATTAAGGTAAGCGAAGCCGCGCTGTTCGGGGAGTGTGGCTGTGGGTGATGGGTGGGCCGGGGACCCGTGCAGGATGTGCGGTGTCCGGAGACAGCCAGGCGAGGCATTGTTTTCTCCCACCTCCTTCAACGCCAAACCTTCCTTCCTCATCCGGCGGTTCCCAGACTCAGTTCTCAGCGGTGAGACGCACAAGTGACTTTTTTCTCCCTGACAGCAGAGGAAAAGTTCCGCTCTGCGTCTTTGCCTTCTGATGTATGCTTTCCCTCATTTTCTCTGCAAGCTGCACTAAACCGTTGTTGGAAGGAGGAAGGGCTAACTCACGATAAATGCAGATGGTTGTGCATTGCTTTCCAGCGAAGGGTTAGCTTTTCCCGTACAATGAAGAAAAAGCACAGCTTACTTTCAAGTGAAAGAAAAAATTCCCTCTAGACTTAAATGATCCCGAAATCCCAAGACGTGTGAACTTTCCCAGTAGGCGGGCAGAGTTTTGAGTGGACCCTGCACCACAGTAAACAGCAATGGAAGAGCACAGAGTTTTTGAGCTGCAGAAAGCACAACCGGAAAGCAATCAATCCCCCAAGCATTATCCCTGGTCCTTGTGGTTACCACCACATCCAGAGAAAACGCTTCCTGAACCGCTAATCACCTCGCAAAATTTCTCTCCATCCATTTGGCAAGGAATTTGTAAACCTCTATCCTCCCCTTTCTATTTCCATCTTCCTTTCACTTGGGGCTATTTTCTTCTGTTTGAGATTTCTTCTTTCAGGAGCATGACTTTGGGATAAGGTTATTTGGGTAAGAATCCTGAACAGGCTCTGATAAAGGGCTTCAGTGTTAATGTATGTGAGTAATTAATCATATGCATGCCAGATTAAAATTGATTTTTGTGGAGCAGGCAGTATAAAACTCTATATATATACATATAAGTATATATATGTGTGTGCATACACACACACACCTCAATGACAATGAAAGATGGACTTTTATTTACTATTGAATTTATTGGGTGCACTAATACATTCAAAAACTCTGTTCAGGGTTAAGCTGCGTGACTAGTACATCATACATGTTCCAAGCTCCCAGTACCAGTCTACTTAAGACTGACCACAGAATGTGGCTCCAGTATAGTCTTTTTCCCAACAGTGACACATGGAAGTTTAAAATCAGTGAAGAAGTTTCTATATTAATAGAAGAGTGGGTGTTAATTACAAATGACTTGTAGTAGTTTCTGTTACCTTGTAGCTTTTTGATTGTGTGAAAAGGAGTGTTCTATTTTGGGTGTAAATTTGGACAAAGGGAAATTACCATTTTGCTTTTAACCCACGGATCAGAAAGCATGCTGTTTTGAAATTTAAAAAACATCACAATTAGGAAACACATACATTTTAGATTCTACGATATTGATGCTACATGTTGTCCTGTGTGTGTAAAACAGGCACTGCAAGATACTTTAAAATATATGATAGTAAAGAGCAAAGGGCTCTATAATGTAAAAATAAAAATAATGGAGTATAAGGAATATGCAAATTCTTGCAACTGAGTTTGCCACTTTTGAATTGTACTATGCTGGTTTATATTCTCAGAAGGGTCATTGCTGAGTAATGGTGCCTCTTTTGTTTTAAAGTTTCTTTTTGTGACAAAAACGGAGGGAGACAGCAGAGTATTAACTTGATTTTCCCCCTTTTTAGTATCAAGTGCAATTAACATTTGGTAAATGGCCTTTATAAAATGAAAGATATTCGAAAATAAAATGAGTTATTCTGTTAGGCTTTTATTGAAAAAGCAGCACATACCTATACTTTAAAAAATCAAATGTTGCAAAGGAGTGTGAAGGGAAGACCCTCAGGCACTCCTCATTCCAACTTACCTACTCCACCCGCATAGATGTTAACACTTTCTTATGTATGTTTCAAAATAGTCCATGCATATGTAAGAATGTATAGCTATACATATCTATGATGAACTATAGCAGCTCCTGATTTATACAAAAAAATTTGGCTAGAGCTTTACAGACCTCATAGCTTTAAACATTTTTGAAGCCTAGAGGGTAATCTAAGGTCATTGTGTTGAAGAAACAAATCTTCAAGGCTAATCTAGTAGGTCTTTGGTGGGCAGCATTCATTGGGATCTGTTCCCAGAGGCCTTAACTCCCTTCTAGGGGTAAAAAGGTAGGTGGTAGGCTCTGTTCCACTCCTTCTCTGAGATCAAGAACCATTCTGTTGACACTCTTGAATCAGCTGCCCTGTGGTTTGCTCCCTTTAGCATAGTAAAATGAGTTTCTAAAAAAAGTCTAGATCACATAAGAAGTACATAGCACATGTTCTATATTGAGAGAAAATGCATTTTCCACAGTTTTGCCAAGATTTTTTTTAAATCTGCCATTGAAATATACACAAAAAAGAAAGGTTTTAGTACATTTTATATTAATCGAAATATTAAATGCTGTTCCAAATTGCTATAGTGCAGTAATAATTGATATTCATGATCATAATGCTGAGCCACTGAAAGATTGGGAATCATCAAATATTAAATTCTTTTCAGCTCAATTTAGGGTATTGTTTCAGACTAGTGCTCTCCTGGCAGAAAACAGACTGTCTTGTATATTAATAAAAAGAATGTTTTCAGTAAATTCGTCCTCCCTAATTTGTGAAAACATGTGTTTAGTTGAGAAAACAATTTCCTTCTGAGCTGATGAAAACAATGAAAACATTTATCTGTATTCATCTTCAGAAATTCTTTCTACTGTCATTGTATTTCTTTCCCCTCATATAACCAATCCTAGGCTTAAAAACATTTAATGTGAGAGTTAAACTAAGTTTTCTTTAATCTGTCTACTTTTTCTTATGTTTATGGTGTGATCGTTTCAACAGCATTGACGTTGATAAATGCTGTGTGTTTTTTTGGTAAGTGCATTGTTATATACCACAATAATGCAATAGAATTCATTTTAATTTATTCTTGATGACTTGTAGTTTAAAATGACAAGTTAGATTCTGCAGTACTGATAATGTCTAGCAGTTGTTTACTATTCTGCATTGGACTATATTTCTAATTAAGAAATAAGACCATTTATCTATCTGGTACCTGATATCAAACTTATATATTTAAAATATTTAACATTTTAGAGTATAGCTTATATCTCTATAACTCTGTAATCTTCTGGAAATAGGAAGTAGCATAGCGTATTTACTATATTAGACGGTGGGAACTGAACTATAAATATATTTTAAAATAGCAGTTGATTTTTCTTCCATTGCATTTAACATATTGACGAGTTCTACTATTTTCGACTTCCTTTTGTTCTACTTAAGAACAAATTTTCTAGGAAAATTTCAAGGAAGAATAGAAATTGTCACTTGGATCTCATGAACATGGGTGTGGGGGATGAAGATGGGAGTTGGGAATGAGTGCTGCGACCTGCACTGGAGCAGCTACTTGGGTGTTATTCATGTCTCATTATTTTATATCATGGCAAGTCCCACTCCATCATATTCATTGTGGGCTGGTATGGTGGATTTCTGAGCTGCAGCCTCAAATATGCCTCTTGGGTACCAGATGACCCCTATCAAGATTATGGCTTTCCTCGAGGGGCAACAGGAATGCAGTTCATATTAAGTGACTACTACTATGAGTCAGATACTAAACTAGGAGCTTTTGTAAATTTCTATCACTTAAACTTCATAGGAAACTCTCTAAAGTAGGGACGGGAGGTACAGAGAGCTACTGTTAAAATATGGAGTGATGATTGAAAGCCATGTCTGCTTAATTTCAGAATTTGTGCTCTTGGGCTGGTTCTCAGATGCAAGAAGTCCACAATCCATGAATACTTTCTAGGTTAGAAACAGCCTGAACGTGTAAGACAGTGACAGAAGAGTATGCATTTTAGGTCCCATGGTTTGTGGGTAAATTATCTTTTCTCAGCCCTCTTTCCCCCAGTTCAGAAGGTTTGGAGCTTGATGATTCTAGAAAGGGATTACAATTTTTTCTGTCTTTGGCTATTTTGTTAGGCGTGTGCTGTACTTGAAAAGGTAGAGCAATCTGGCAGGTGTTCTGCTTGGTGTCAATACATGGAGGTGACACCTGTTGTTTTACCCCAAGCCCACTTTGCCCATGCCCTGCAGACAGTGGAGTCTGTGAAGCATTGTATTCTCTTTTAGGCTGATACACAGATGGAAAAAACACCTGAGTCATAGGAATATATATTATTCTAGGGGAGTACGAAAATGAGGAATCTTCATTTGGAGATCTGAAAGTGTTTGTTTTTAAAAATAGAGATTGCTACAAAGGAAATTAAACATGATTAAAAATAAGTTAAAAATTTTAGGCACCCTATGGATTACATAGGCGTTTATAGATTGACCTGGGAATTACAGCATTTATAGATTTTATTCTCTACAAATATGTGTTAAAAGTTCCAAATAACTGACTTGTGGATGGATTTTGGAAAAATAACCAGATTGTACAGAGGAGCTCACTAGTCTTTACTTTACTGTAAGGGTCACTGAGAGTGTGCCCTGGTGGCTTCAATTCTCCTCCTGAGATGTGATTCAGCTTCATGAATGGCATGAACCTCTTAGGTAGATCTGGTTTATGATCCCGGCAACTTCAGTTAGCATATTTATGTTCTCTCACATTGCTGTAGTAGCATGGCCACATATCACCTTAGAAGTGGTTGCTTCTAATTGCAGTGCCTTTCTGATGTGATTTCTTATAGCACCTCTCAAGAAAATAAGGAATAAACTTTATGTAAAGAGCATTGTCATACTTCGATGAAAGATTTTAGAAGTATCTGTTGATTAGTGTTTGCTACTGCTATTAGAATTTACAAAATTTGTTTTCCCTTTTGGAAAATATATCAAAGCGAAAAAGTGGAAGTTAATAACATAGCCATTGAGGGGTTAAACACGCTTTGTGATTGAGACTGAATAGTGTTTTCCCAACCTTTCCCTTTTTACAATGGAGAAAACAGGTAATTAAATTTTGTACAGTAAAATGTCAATTGAACA